TGCCTCAAGTAGGAATCATCTCTGGCCAGTACACGTCTATCAAACGACTCATCCACCTGAGTGACTCCGTATATTCCAGCACCAAGCAGTGACAGAGAGAAGAGTATAACCACAACTTTTGTAACTGGAAGGGTCAAGAATGTGCCCCAGTATTTCATAACTTTATTTGAAGTTTGGGGGAGAGGCTCATCCCATGCTGGTCTATCCTCTTTTGGCCGTGGTGCCAGGCAGAATGGGAGGAAATCTCGGCGGCCAGATTTAATTCTTCTTACATCGTATGTCATAAGGGCCACAAAAAATGTGACAACCATCAGGAAGGAGAACGTCACTGTCAAGGTGGCATAAATACAGAAATACCTAAAGAAAGGAAGTAATTAAGTTGTAAAGTAGACAATCTAATTGAAAAAATCTACAACATTAGAAAATCTATTAGTGGCTGATGAAACTTGAGTACTTGAAAGCTAATTAAATGACATCTCATACCGCCATTTGCGCTTACAGCTCAATCATTCAGGGAAAAAAAGATATCCCAAGGAACTGTGACCATTTTTATCAGAAAATTAATTCAGCGGCTCCTGCCACAGCTCGACATCTCATTTAACCGGTTTACAGCTGAAATTTAAAGGTAAAATGTGCAAGTCACTTAGTAAATCATCAAAACTTTCAGCTCCTTTAAGCACTTACGCCAGTGCTAAATACCTCATGATTTTTTATTCACCTTCCCAAACTGGAGAAGCTCTGCTGGATGTCAATTTAAGCAGCTTACCTTATAGCTGGTAATGAGGTGGATGTGCTGACTGCGAACGCCACCAAATCAGTCATTGTTGTCATGGTAACTGTTGCACCAGAATGCTTCATAACCGCTTTGATCTTTTCAATCGTTAACAGGTCACGTGGCTGCCGATCAAGCTCGTCGACTATGATGAACATGTCGTCGATGCCGATTCCAAGAACCAAGAAAGGCAGCACCCAACTAAACTGACAAAAGGTACACGAAGCCACATACCAAGGCCGAGTCCGGACAAAATCCCTAGGGCAACTGCAATGACCCCTCCATTAGCAAGTAAAGCATGACCGGTCAGCGGATTAAGGTACTTGCCCAGCATGAAGCAAGCAAAAGAGATCATGAAGGTGAATGTGATCGACACTAGTTTTACATCAGACCCGGTACTTGCACTTATAGCATCATCCAAGCTCCTTTCGCTTGAATAATGGACATCGAAGCAAGAAAGTTTGTCCACTAACGAGCTTACTTTGTCCATGAAAGCCTTCTCCCAATTTAGAATCTTGTCACTCGCATCATCGTCCTTCGGATCACGAAGGAGATAAATCATTTGCAAGGCTTTGGCGTCAGTAATTCTTCCATGTTTTCGAGTGGCCTTGCCAAACATTCGGTTAAAGTTCAACCAGAATGGGCGTCCATTGCGCATGAGTAAACTTGTGTCGTTATAGGCTTTACCCAGTTCCCGTTGGACTTCATGTATGTCCTTTCCGCTCAATTTGCTTTCATTGAACTGCAAGAATTCTAGGGGATTAATCATCGCGCACCCTTCTGGCGACCTGGATTTGTTTCCCAACAATGTGACACAGAGTTCTGTGAAAGATTTCAACTCCATGACTGCATTGTGAGCCCTAAAGGCTTGCTTCAAACACTCTGGGGAAAGAACATTTGGATTACTAGGGGAGGCCGCCAGTAAGATGATTTCTTCTCGAAAGTTGACACGGAAGTATTTCTCGGCAGTTTCCAAGTCATCTATTGCCTTGCTGTTTTGAGGGATGAACAATTTTACGGTTCTGTTTTCTGAATTGAACCAAACAAAGCCCACAGAACAAACACTGACAAGCATGAGACACAACTGGATGGTGATCAGTGGATGTTTGGCGATTCCTGCACTATACCAACCAAAGAAGCGTTCCATAAAACGCAAGTACCATTTGCAGAACCAGGACCACAAGAGACATGGGAGAAATCGGCGTGAATAACAGGGTCTACAAAAAATACACATTGAAACTGAATTTACATATAGCTTTTCATTAGGTCTGATTTGGGACATTAAATTTGAAAAGACATAATTTCGCCACTATTTAAAAGGCTCATGATTCATACAGATACAAAACTGCTCTTGGAGCTCGATAAAAGTTATAAAAAGTGATCCAAACATAGACACGAGGCAGCCACCTTTTAGGTCTGATCAGCGATTGACAACATTCATCGGTCGATCCTTTCTCTTACAGTTTTTGTGCCAGTCGAATGTCGCTGAACGACCAAAAATTAGGAACAGCACAGATTATTACAACCCTAACCTGCTTTGTTGTTTTAGTAGAGGAGCCTCGGCTTCAGCGACGAGAATTGTTTCTGAGCACTTAAATAACGGCTTTAACATCTGCCGAACGAAATGGAAGATACGTATAAAGTACTTTGTGCTCGTTTTTTCTGTTAGATTCTCCTGAAGGCCCGAAAGTTGGCTCCATGTGTGTAGGTTTTTGCCCAAGCGCGGTAACTGTTTGGCAAACTATGCGCGAGTTTTGCTTTTAGGCAAAAAGAATAAAAGACAGATTAAAAAAAACACATTCCCGAAAGAAGTAAAAACGAATTAAACCAAGTAATGAAATGTTTAGTTTAAAGGACGCGAGCTACTGACAAATACCTAAAAATCATGGTAGAGTCTTTCTCCACATTTGCCGTCTCATAGAATCCTTTGCTTAAATTATTTTCTTCGATTTCTGTCATAATTTCTTCGGTTCTTTTAAATGTACCTATACATATCCAATTATATTTTGCCGCACATCCCGTTCATCGAAATATTCCTGTATCCTTCTGAAAAGCATTCTCTGGGCTGATTTTTATTTAGGTAACAGCAAAACGGGAAGCTTTAAGTTTTGAAAAATAGCGCACACGCACTATTTCCTTTGTCAAAATAAACCAGCCGATAGTATTGTCTGACAAAATATTGAACCTGTTGGTAGACAGGCAAACAAAAGCGACTGATCGACCGGAATTTTAAAACGAATAAATCTCGAGCTTCCTTTCTATTCACGAGTGAAGCCAAACACGTACTCGAATCGGAACATATACAAAATCGCCGCTTTAGTAGTTTTCTTTATCAAACATTATCAGAACTATTCCATTCTGAAACATTCATTTCATCCTGAATTTGTTATCACTGAGAGCAGAGGGGAAGAACATCACGTCGCACTATCTTTCCACTGAGTCACATTCACCTCGAGCATTACTGAGATTGATAGGTTTGCAAGCATTACTATTTGAATCTGTTTTAGATCTTGGGAGATTGAAGCGATCCGAATTATTTTTTGTAATCAAAATAAGTCAAGAGTTTGCAGTTTGTACGTCCAAATGACATTAATTAAATTCTGAGCCCAAAACCATTTTGTTTAGCGTAATTGATGTGTTTTTTTTTATCACATAGGACGAGCAGAATACGATAGCAGTTGACTATGTAATCAGTAACTTTAAAATAATCGTAAGATGAAGTACACGGACGTAAACGTTGCAGTTATCTGAGTACTTAGTTAAACGTTTTCCCTTCAGAAAAGGCACTTTAATTGTTGCTTCGGATATGTTTTTCTGTTCAATCAAAAACAGCGAGCTTAGACGTTTACTAAGGTTTTTCACCCACTGGAGTACATCGTTTTCTTCCTCGCACAGATATGTCATCATTCACGGCAACAGCTGCTAATAGCGCTTTATACTATTACTAAAAATATATTTTGTTACGTGATAACCTATGAGACCCCCCGCACAGACTCAGACAAACATTGCGACCAGGTTAAGGAAATGTATGAGCGAGAGCTGTAAAATTAAAACAAAACGACGGAAAATTTCGTCAAAAAATGACTTGGCGTTCTAAAAGGAAGCGGCATGGTTGGTACCAAACACTGTTGTTGGGGTGAGTGTACGACAGAAACACTTAATTTATTTTTGTGCTCTTCACTGGCCCGGCGAAAGAGGTCCAACTGCCGAATTTCCCGATCCACTGAAGGCAAATCTAAGACCAGCGCAAGTAAGTTGAGCACATGCTCCTAAGAGGAAAGCACCGAAAGAAAGAGAAAATTCAGCGTCAAAGAAACAGAAATTATTCAATGACAACTGCATGAACATTAACTACATAAACTACATGAATTGGCATTTAATAGAAACACAACCAGTATTGAGCGCAATATATAAAAATCCGCCGCTCGTATCTTACAAAAGAGGGCGATCGCTCAAAGAGATACTCGTGAGGGCCAAACTTTGAATAGGCTATTCTAAACACGCGCTGGGGAGTCGTGTAGGCCTGTCAACCCCCTTTTTACATTGTTTACATCAGAATTTTCTTGAAAAACTTTTGGCAGCAAACCATTTTCCATGATCGATTGCCGGATCAAGGGTGTGATAATTCTCTCATCTCACACAGTCTGTACAAGATCTTCTCGTTTACCGCTTAATTTTAAGCCCCTACATTTTAACCACCGTTTTAGCTGGTCTACAGTGTATTCTTCCGGTTCTCTTTCAAATTTGGAGCCAGAAACGCCGTCCTCTTCGGTCAGAACTGTAGGGGAATAAGCGAACTACTCGCCATTTCCCTTGTAGCTCTTAAAGAAGTGGAGATTGTTTGTCTGAGTCACGCGTGGGGTCTAAAATTTCATGACGTCATTAGTATAAAGCGCTATTGTCAAGCTATCTGCTCGTCTCTGATTGGATAATGGATGGAAATAACCCAATCAGAAAAGAGGATACGGGGAGCAGTTTCTAAACTGGGTATCGCTTTTCCAACTCATTGAATCCTTTGCTCAAATTATTTTATTCGCTTTCTTTCATCATTTCTTAGGTTCTTTTAAATATGCCTATGCATATCCAATTATATTTTGTCGCACATCGCATTCTTCGAAATATTCTTATATCCTTCTGAAAAGCATCCTCTGGAACATTTTTAATAAGCAAAAGCAGAACAGGAAGTTGCAAGTTTTGAAACATCATGCACACGCACCATATCCTTCATCAAAATAAACCAGCCGATTGGATTGTCTGGCAAAATATTCAACCTGCTGCGAAACAAGCGAGAAAAACTAACTAATGGATCGGGATTTCAAAGCGAAAGAATCCCTAACTTCCTCGTAATCATAGGTGAAGCCCTCACGTACTTGAATCGCAACATAAACAAAATCGCCGCTTGGTAGTTTTCTTTATTAAATATTAACAGAACTATTCCTTCCTGAAACATTCACCCCCATCCTGAATTTGATATCACTGAGGAACAAAGGAGAGGAAGTCACGTAGCACCATCGTTGGAGTCACGTTTACCCCAAGCATAAGATTTGCAAGTCGACAAGCATGATTATTTTCGTCTAGCTTTGATCTTGGGAGCTTGAGGCGATCCGAATTATTTGTTGTGACCCAAATGAGTTAAGAGTTTTGAGATTAAATCGTTAATAATTCTGGGTGCAAACCATTTATTACTTATTTTTTTTGTTTTTGGTTTTTAGTTTCTTTTATTTTGAAGCGAGTACATTATGTTATCGGCTGATTATCAGTAAATTTGAAATAATTATGAATAAGGTATGGACATGAAGTTTATTGACATAAAAGTTGCAATTATCCGCACGTTCTGAGACAAACTTTAGCCTTAAAGTTAACAGCCCTTCTATGATTGCTTTTCCTTACATTTACTTTCCTGTTCAATTGAAAACAGTTATCATAGACATTTTGCCGTAAGGTTCACACGTACAAAAATATTTTTCCTTCCTCGCACCAATACATATTCAATGATGCTACTGGCTATTAGATGTCATGCTGTCTGCTCTTCTTTGATTGGATGATAAATAGGAACAACCCAATCAGAAGAGAGTATACGGACAGTAGTTCCTGAACTGAGCATCGCTTTTCCAGCACATATGCTTGCATACACGAATAAAACGAACGTGTAGTACATAAGGGATACGGTCGACAATTGTTGAGAAATCTTTCGCAGTCGAGGATAGAGTGCTCAGGTTAGGAATAAGTGTACAATTGCCACAATGGCAATATTTCAGAGGCGAAACTCCTGTTATTTATTAACTATTCGCCGCTGAAAAAGGCACTCTGTCGACCTATTATTCGTTTTCATATATTTTCTCCCTCAGAGACTTTAAATCATCGTGTGGTGCCTAACTTGCAAATTTGTGCTTGAGTATTATGTCACACTGCGCGAGGCAACCACGCCAAGAAGCAAAATAATTCTCGCGCGCCAAGAAATAAAGTAATCCTCACAAGAAAATTCAGAACATTCGAACTTCCATTGTCGAACGAATAAAACGGGTGCTGTTAAGAAAATATTGGTGTTCCGCGCGATTAAAACAACGTTATCCTTTATAATCAATACTGGCTGCAGTGAAAACTCTACCCACCTTGATTGGTCTGATTCCTTCACTTGTTCGAGTTCTGGTTTGAGTTTGACCATGATTTTGAGAAAGTGACTTCAACACTAGTGCTAGACTTGCTGAAAATAAACTGATGAATCAGAATCCTCTGGTTTATATGCATTAGGTGCACGTGCCAAATGACAAAAGTACGCTTCAGCGCTAGACAAAGTAATTATGTTTAAATGATTTGCTTCCCCATTGCGACGTGACGGTGCTTTTTAAACGAATGGACAGCGATTCCGAGTAGAATATTGCCGAAAAATACAAGGAAAGTTATCGTTTTTAAGTTTTGCGATGCAGCTTTTCAGCTTACCTTTTTCAAAGCACCAAACGTAATGTAAAGGAAAAAGACTTCCTTCATCTGCGTTGGCACACGTTTTTGCAAAATAAAAATAACTTTAGAACGTGACGGATGTATTTTGTTTACATGGAAAGAACGGAAGTTTTGCATCGAAGTCGAGCAGTGTGACCTTTCCTTTGGAAGTAAATGGAAATGGCCTATTGTGTTGGTGGGTGCACCCGATTCGCTCGAAATTAACCGCTTACAGGTGGATTTAATTAGCGTCAAATTAACGCATACAAGCGGTCAAAGTAGGGCCTATTTACCTATCGTGAGATGAAGGAAATCAAGGCCTGGTATCACAGCCAGCTAACCCCTTGAAACGCGATTTCCATTATGCCTCCTAAACGAGATTTTAGATCGAAAAAAAATTTGAATTTAGTAACTTTCAAAGGGGGAAAAGCTGCGAGAAAGGCGAAGTTTAGTGTTCCTGTTCGATATGCCGCCCAGCAATTTACTGATTCAACGTCTGTGGCCGCCGGATCTTCTTTGAACATGGGCAGAGGTTTTCCTCCAGATCAAGAAGACCTTCCCCATATTGACGAACCTCATGGCTTAAGAACTTAAAAAAAAATCAAAGGTTACAAAAGTACGGCTGAGGCGCAAGCTGAAAGCTTACCATGAAAGGAAAGCCACGCTGGCTGCGTCCTGGCTCAATGCAAGAGAGCTGCTTGTCTCAGCACTCTTGACAAGACAGGCTTTGCCTTTGGAGCAGATGTGTGTCATTCCTTTTTGCGAAGAAAAGGCATGCGGCAGATGCCTTGACTGCAGTCCTGGGCACTTTATGTGTGAATTCGTG